TTTTATTTTTTTTTGTTTTACGAACAATTTGCTTAACTAGCACACGTCTCCTAATGAAACATAATTCAGCTATTAATCTGCACAGCACAGTGGCCTAAAAAGCTGGCAGGCACCTACAGCTGCTTTAACGTTTGATGATAGCCGTTTACAATCCAAAATAAACAGAAAAAATACACAAATTAAAAAAAATAATAATAAATTAAGCAAAAAATATGTTTAGGTTGCCACCTTATTTCACAGCCCTTTAGCAGCGCACAGTAATATTATATGTTAGTAAATGTGCTTAAGTGTTCAAGTAGCCAAGCACTTTTCGCATCCACTCTAGCTTTGRCTTATATGTGGAAACTGGCACACAAACATAAAGTTAACTTTATTGCGGTTCTACTTAATTAACTTTGCAATATTTTTATGAAACTTTTATTGCTGTACAAAATGGTTTATACCTTAACAAATTTGCTCGCCATTGCAAAGTTTTGCGATGTTAAAAAACTCAATAAAAGAAGAAACAGCAATGGTTTTGTGCACCTTTTGAATTACAGGCCTGGCTGCTTAATGACACAAGTGAAGTGTTGGAATCACAAAMCTCGAGTATTACGCCAGTCTACTTTTGAATCTTAAACTTAATTTCAAATCTAAGACAATTTGAAGTTTTGTTAATGAGGCCTGTAGTGTTGACGAAAGAGAACTGCTTAGACATCTAATATTCTATAAGCACTTATTCGTATCAGCAGTTTTGAGGATAATAAAAATAATAATAAAAAAAAACATTTATTATAATATAATATTCTTCTCTATAGAAAGTACTCCCACTCACTTCATTAAGTCATCATATTATCAAACCATACTTATAATTATACTTATACTCTGAAAGTTTTTCGGAAACGACGTCCACACAGAATACTTGCGATATCTTGAGTTCTCACAGTAATATTTTTACATAGGTCTTCAATACTCGAATTAAGCAGACTGAATAAGGCTAAAATGTTGCATTCTAAATGCAAAGCGATGCTCAAAAACTAAATTGTAACCTGAAATATATTTGTTTATATAAATTTTCTGAAATTTTCGAAGTATTTAGAACACTTTTATTAGAAGGAAATGCTTTTTAGTGAGTTTTTGGCATATATTGGTTGAACCTATCGTCATATTGGTTAAATGTATCGGTTACAAATTAAATGTATCGGATATTACTAAAATGTATGTCGTTATATTATTTAAATGGATCGGAATATATCGTCGYTTCAGTACTTACCAAAAGGAAGATCGTCTGCTCTGCAATGTGCCTCAAGCAAATGTCGCCATTCTAACGCTGACTTGTTGTAAAATTATAACGAAAACTTGCGACAATCGTGTGGGGTAAGGTAATTAGTATGACAGCTGCACGCCAAGCAACAATTAAAAAACGCACTAACACTAATGCACATGCACACACTTAAAGATACGCGCGCGTTGTAGGCGATAAAAAGTTGCACCAATCGAAGAATGACGGCGATTGTGACGAATATGGGTAGACGCTATGTTTCAAAGTGTCGCCAATGCTCGCGTTCAACCGTTGAGCTGTGTGTTGTAGCAACKAGCTATTGTTGTCTGCTGCTGACGCCAATTGCTGCTATTACGCCAGCGCAATTAATGCGTTTAACTCTACGCGCTTGATGGCTGCTCAGCTTTTTATTCGTATTATTTCTTTTTTGTTTTTTTTTTTTTTTTGCAAAAAATTTTAATTATCAATTTTCTTGCAATTTCTTAGCTGCCGCTGTTTGTTGGGCGTAGTTGTTGTCAGGCGAATCGCGCAAAAAATGCAGCAAACGCCGGTGTTGCACACTTTCTTAGCTGCACGTTTAACGATCGTTGCTCAACAGCTTCGTAGGCGCTTAGCAAGCTGTGGAAGGCATGTTGCAAATTGGTTTTTTTGCTTGCTTTGTTTTTGCCGTTTAATTACCGCTGCTTGCTGTCGTCAAAAGAAATCGAAAAGTTAGACTTTGCGTTGGCGAAATTTTTGCTACTTTGTTGGTAGTTTATGGCTTTTGTGAAAACAATATTAGTTGTTTCTATTGTTGTTGTTGTTGTCGTGTGAATATTCATTCGCTTTGTTTGTATTGCGTATAGATATTGCATGTGATTTTCGAGCGATTTTTATGTATGTTTATTAACCCTTTTTAAAAGATTATTTTCTGTAAAGAAAGAGAAAAAGAAGTTAATAGTTTAACTATATTATTTATACATGTCATCACCAAAAATACAAAATAACTGAACATCACTTTTAATAAKYTTACAGGCGAARGAAAAACGATGTCGTAGAAASCACTCATATTCTAATTGTTTGAGTATTGGTCATATATTGCTTATCATGTGAATGTGAATCATGTGAAACCACTGAAAGTAATTTTCGATTATTTTTTTGATAATACGCTGTTTTGCWTTTTAGGTGGCGATGTATACAAGAAAATTTAGTTTACCGCAGGTTTTGTAAAGCCTAAATCTAATATAGAGTTATGTGTATCATAATAATCAGGGTGAGCATATAAATTGATATCTGAATGTATGTCTATCAGTCTACATTATCCAATGTGATCGACAATTCGAATGAAAAAGGTAATATACGTGATTGCCGACGGCGCTAGGACTAAAAATGTCTCTGAAAGAATTTCGGGTAGGTAAAAATTCATACAGTAAAAAAAAAAAATGTAAAGAGCTATCAAATTTTGGTTATTTCTGGCCTTTCAGAATCCAAATTTYGACATAGATTTAAAGCTTTAAAATGTTGTACCCTTAAGAGGGTATATTAAGTATTAAGTGCTGCAAAGTTTATAATAACTAAAAGAAACCCTATAAAATATATACATATGTAAATGATTAGCATGACGTGCTGAATCGATTTAGCCATATCCGTCTGCATATATGTGAACTAGTATATTAATTGCTGAGATATCGATCCAAAATTCGGGAATTTCGCGCACATTGTTTTCTTTCCAAGAATCTGTTCATTAGTAACATTATAGTTAGTTACCATACACACTGACCGATCAAAAT